GCATTCAAAATGAAACCCGGGAATGGAGTTCTGGGAACTCGAAGACCACGAAGTGGCGTATACAGTTGGCTCTGGGCATTCAGAATGTGGCCCGGGAGTGGAGTTCTTGGACCTCGAAGACCACGAAGTGTGTAACTGTTGGCAAAAAAAATCTCCGGCACCGTCCCCCGGATCGCGCCCAGACCCCCCTGGGGCGTCATGATGCTCTCTTTTGACCCTACTAGAAGCTTATCAGTCTTCGCTGTTGGGTAAAATCCATCAGAATACAACAAATCGCAAACATAGCAACAAAGATCGCCCCCTGATTATTTTGTAGACTATGTTTGAACATTCCCCCTGGAGGGGGACAGGCCCGACGGAACTCCAGTGACCTCCGAGGTGCACGCGTGAGCCGACCTCCGCCCTGGAGCTCGCTCCCCCCACCATATGTGGACGCTCTGCCCCTCGCTGCCGGGAGCACCCCCCCGAGACGATACGGCCCACCACCATTCGGGTCGGGCGAAAGGGGGGGATAGCAAAGGGGGGGTTTGAGAATCCGCTCCCGTAGCTGATTTTCCCGGCGCCTCCCGGCGCCGGAGGCGGCCAGCGCCGGAGGCGGCCATGTATCGAGGAATGGGCCCCTCGGTGAGGCCGAAATCAGCTGCATGCAGCAAATTTCGTAACCCCCCCTTTCCCAATCCCCCCCTTTCGCCCGACCCGAGCCTCCCCCCGAGACGATACGGCCCACCACCATCAGGGCCATGCCGCTGTGGCGAAAGGTGCGGAACCTGAGCAGGGGCCGACCGTCCCGGCCTTTCTATAGGCAGAACCCAAACAAAAGTTTTCAGGACACGAACCAAGTTCTTAGGACATAAGCCCGATGCGTTTAAACGGTGCAGTCCCAGCCAGAAATCTTCTGAGAACATGTCGTGCAGACCACCAAAAGCTTATTCCAACTTTCTTTGGCAGGCCTACAGGCGAGCCAGGACGCTTCGCCACTGCTCGAGGAACACGTCTTAGCGAGCCGCCTGAGCTTGATGGAATAAAACAAGGCTAGGATCGGGATAAATCGCTCCAGAGCGTTCCGGAGCGCTCTCAGAGCGTTCCGGAACGCTCTGGAGCGGCCGCGGCGCCCAACACATCCTCCAGACCCGCCGATTCTCAGAGATTTCGAGTTATCCCGATCCGATGTTGTCCCGATCTTCGCGCCGTTTGATGGAACCACGAAGGCTGCTCGGGTCGGAAAAGGGATCGGGCCGCCAGCGAACCCTTCCGCCTCGACGCGAACTCGGATCGCCGCGCCCGGCTCTCTGAGCCGACCCCGGCCGCTGCTGGCGAAGCCGGCTTCGGATTTGAGAGATCCTCACGGCTCGCTTCCCAGACCCCCTCGAGCAATGAAAAAATCATGACGGGAGGTTTTTCCTACTTTTCGGCCTCTGGGGGCCCTCACCGGGCCTCGGGAGCGTCAAAAAACGACTCGGGATGCAAAGCCGGTCATGGGGAAAGGGTCGGGACCTCTGGGGGTCGACGTAATGAAAAAATCATTACGTCGGGGGTCTGGGTTTGAAACTGGCCCGAGTGTTTTTTCTGCAAATGAGCTCGACAGCAGAACCAAAACACACGACGCCCGTCCAACGTCAGATCCGCTGCCCCTCGTGGGGGCTAATTATCACGGCACCCATTGCATCTATAGGGCTTGGACTGCGACCGGGCCTCAAGTGGCCGGCCGGGTTAGCGTCACCAGGCCAAACCTGTCCGAGTGTGCCCGAGTGTGCTGCCCAGGCCGAGTCGAGATCCCCGCTTGGATGGACTTTCAGCCCTCGCGTCGCCTCAGCGCCTGGACTAGCACGGAACCTCGGCGAAAGAGAAGCGGCTGCTGCACGCCCGAGGTCGCGCGAACCGCCGTGATGAGAGACCGCGTGCGCGCTGCATGACGGGTCTCGCGCGGGCGCCCAAGGGAAACGCGCGCGCGCTTCGTAAGGCCACCTCGACGTCGACCCGGCATCCCTGGGGCCCCCATGCAGACTGCCGATTTCTCTGCATCTTCCAAAATCTGGGGCCCGTTCCTCTCGAGCCCCTATCCCAGGGACTGGCACCCAACCGGAGCGATTCTTTCACGGCGCCGGGGACCGAGAGCGACAAGGGGCCGCAATCACGGAAACAACTCAGGCCCGATGTCCTCGGATAAGAGGAGGTCAGGAGCCTTCCACCGGAAAAACACATATTACGCTAACAAAAATTATCGGTGGTCCGCGCGGACTTCCGAGAAATCCACGCAAACCAGCAGCTCATGGTTGTGCCAGGTGCAAATCCTCCCAAATGCGGTCCGTGTAGATCGTAGATGGAGTCGGAGGATCGCGCCGCAACGCCGCTGCATCGCCAATGCATCGGCGATGCATCGGCGACGTTGACGTGGAGAAACCCGAGCCCAACATCGGGACGCAGCGCCGATGCATCGCCGAGGCGGCGCGACCCTCCCACCCCGCCCACTCGAACCCCGCTTTGGAGGCTCCGGGTCTTGCCTCCTCGCAGGCGAGCGGGGACGCCGCCCCGTGCGCCGCCTCCTGCGCACTCGCCCCTCCTCCTCCTCCTCCGCCTCCTCCTCCTCCTCCTCCTCCTCCTCCTCCTCCTCCTCCTCCTCCTCCTCCTCCTCGAACCCCGCTTTGGAGGCTCCGGGTCTTGCCTCCTCCGCTCCCCACGCGGGGCCGACCGACCTTCCGCGGACGAGTGGCGGCGGCGAGCGCGCGGCCGGCCGCTCCCGGGGGCGCGCCTGAGCCGCATAATCGCCGGCAGTGCGGCACGTGGGCCGGGCACCGGCGACACCTCCGCGGCGGGCCGGGCGGGGCCCGCCCGCCCGCCGCCCTCCCCTGACCTTCCAGAGAGCTATTTTTTAGCACTGGAAACCTAAAAACCTAAAAAGCGAGACGAAACAGCCTAAAACCAAGACGTACAATAGCTCTGGGATAGGTTTTTACGTCGGGTGCTATTTTTTAGCCCTCCTGGAAGGTCAGGGTCGAAGCTGCCGGGGGGGGGGGGCGAACGCGGAGCCATATGATCAACATCCACCTCCTGGGGGCTCGATCTGTGGGGACCTTGGCAGCTTGGCAGTGGGTGGGTAACGGATGGGTTAGATAGAGCCTTCCGCACGCACCATGAGCTCCCCCCCCTTCTGCGCAAAAAATCAACAATCGGTATATGATTCTCACGATTTTCGCACATAATGTTGACACTCTTTTGCAAGACTCCTGTCTGCAACAAAACACCCTGTACTAACCAGCCGTCGTCTCCAACACAGCAGGAAAGAATCAACAACCTCCCTCCCAATATGCGAATTTGAAAATGACCTTCTACTCTTTCCCATCCGTCTAAAACGCAACACCCAGTACTCATTCGCTTCCGTCGCCGACACAACACCCAGTACTCAACAGCCCCCTCCAAAAATATGAGTATGACAACAACCTTCTACACAACGACCTCCCGTCTACAACAGAACACCCAATACTCAACAGCCTCCGTGCTTAGCACGACACCACATGTTTCATAGGTTTTCTCCTCAAGCTGACTTTGAAGATAACTTCCTAGTCTGCCCCATCCGTCTACAGCACAACAACACCGTGTTCAACATATTCCGTCCCCAACAAAACACCCAATACTAACCTGGCTCCTTCACCAAACCGAATTTGAAACATACTTATATTCAAGCTCCTCCGTCTCCAACGCACCATCCAGTACTCAACAACCTCCGTCTCCAACACAACACCAAATACTCAACAGGCTCCTTCCCACAGCTGAATGTGAGATTAACCTTTTACTCGGCCCCTCCTTCTACTCCACAACACACAGTTCTAACCACCCCCCGTCTCCAACGCAACATTCAATTCGCAACAGGCTCTCTCCCCAAGCTGAAGTTGAGCAGAATCTTCTACGCAAGCCCCTCTGTCTACAACACAACAACCAATTCTCAACAGCCTGCGCGTCCAACGCAACACCAACAACTCACCAGTCTCCCTCCCCAAGCTGAACTTGACAATCACCTTCTACCCGACCCCCTCCGTCGACAAAACAACACCCAATACTAAGCAACCTTCGTCCCCAACACAACACCAAATAGTCCTCAGGCTCCCTCCCCAAACCGAACTTGGCAATCACCTTCTACTCTACCCCCTCCGTCTACAGAGCAACACCCTGTACTGACAATCCTTCTTTTCCAACATACCACCAAATACTCAACAGGCTCCCTCTCCAAGCTGAGTTTGAAAAGAACCCTCCTATTCTCCCCCCCCCCGTCTACAACGCAACACCCAGTACTCAACAGCGTCCGTCTCCAACGTCACACCCAATATTCAACAGGCTCCCTTCCCAAGCCGAACATGAAAATAGTCTTCTGCTTTGCACCCCTACTTCTTCTACTTTACATACACATACACACACACGCACAATTTCTCCCGCTGTGAACGCACTGATGCGAGGAGGCGGGCAGCGACAAAGTCCTCTTACGTGGCGCTATGTGGGTTCAGCCGCCCAGCGGTCCGCCGTCCACCAGCCTTGGGGGCTGGCCTCCCCGTTCTCCTGCCCCGCTGGACAGGTGGGGGGGACCGAGAAGAGAGGCCCCGTGCAGGCTGGGGATTGGTCGGGCATGTCCACCTACAGGCGGATTTTGGACGAAACATAAAACATTGCAGAAATATATACCCCCCCCAAATGCATAAACATACTGTAAAAAGTGTCCCCCGACTAAATCTCACTACTTTTGAAGATTCCTCCTGTAGAGGGACAGGCCCGACTTAAGGTTAGGGCGAGGGGCCAGCCCAGCAGGACACCGCAGCCCCACATCCGCTCCGCTCAGGGCTCGACGTGTCCACTTTGGACCTGGCGAAGGGCCGAGCTCTGGAGACACGCCAGGCCCCACTCGGGTGGCCAGCGCCGAGAGTGCGGGCACGAGGCCGCAGGCGACGAGGCAGATCCTCCGGGGGCCCGCAAGCATGGATCAGCGATCCACGGATCTGGCGCGCCGTCGCCAGAATCCGTGGAGCGGGGGAGGCGCCCTCCCCAAAAAGGCCGCCGGTACCGCCCCGTCCGGCGGCGGAGATCCGCGATCCCCCATGGAAACGGGACCCGTCGCCAATCCACCCCGCGATCCATGGATTTGGCGCGCCGTCGCCAAGTCAATGGATCGGGGGAGGCGCCCTCCCCAAAAAATGCTGCCGGTGCCGCCCCGTCCGGCGGCGGAGATCCGCGATCCGCCGTGGAGAGCGGGGCCCGGTCGCGAATCCACGCCCGAGTCATGGGTTCGGGGGGGGAGCCTCCTGCTCCTCCCCCCCCTGGGGAAGAAGGCGTGTAGCCGTCGATCGGGTCCAGGCCGCTTCGGCAGGGAAGGGAAGGGAGGGAGAGGAGGACCCTCGCCATCGCTCGGGCGTCCATTCCCTGTGTTTTTGTTTTGGTTACGTGTGTGGTTTTTTCGCCAGAGAATCAAGGATGCTCCTAGATGGCCCTCGCCGAAGGAAAAATGCACACGTCCGAGCGATGCCAAGAGGAGGGGGGCGGGCGACGGCAGGGGAGAATCCCAAAGTCACTGGCCTTGCCTTTAGATGACCAAGGACCTCCTGAGGTCAGCGTGGCGCGCCGCGCAGCGGGGCGGGAGACTGGGAAGGGGAACTGGAACACACAAATAAATACACACAAATAAAAATATCCCCCATATTTTCCCATAGTTTCTGGGTTTTTGTCTTCCCCACCACTTCCCATATTTTTGCATATTTTCCTGGGAGTCGACGATTAATTGTGTCTGTGTGTTTCTTTCCCTCCTGAGACTGGGAAGGGCTCGGGACGTTGACGTTCGAGGGCTGGGGCGCGGATGGCGTGTGACGCCAGATGGTGGTGGACCATGCACAAGTAGCGCGACACGCTAAGCCAAGGTTCCTGAAAGCCAAACTTCCTAACCGCAATCTTGCCGCACAAAGTCAGCCGTCGCGCAGAAGCCGTTTGACCACGGCGCGCTTGGCTAACCTAGCGCATCACACCAGAGAAACTCCCCAATCAATGAAGGGTTTGAAAAATAGGATCAATAAAGATATCGATAATGAAATCGACCAAGAACCTGGGAACCCGGAACCCACCGAAATTGGCCTGGAACCAATAAACCGGAACCTGGGAACCCGGAACAAGGAACCCGGAACCGGGAACCCGTGAATCCAGCCGGCCACAAAAATCGGCGGGACACTTTCGCCAAGTCTTTCAACTTCCGCTAGGACCCCTTGAGTGCAAGCACTGATTGGGGAATCATCTTTACCTATACGACCACCCTTCGGGTGATAAGGAGGTTGCGGGGGGAGGAGAGGGGGGGGAAACAACATCTGACTCAATCGATCTCACTATCGATCTCACTCAACGGGACACCACGGGACACCACGGGACACCACGGGACACCACGGGACACTTGCCGATCTCACTATCGATCTCACGATCGATCTCACTCAACGGGACACCGCGGGACACCTCTCGATCTCACTATCGGTCTCACTATCGAACGCACTATCGATCTCACTCAATGGGACACCTTAGGACACCACGGGACTTCACGGGACACCACATCGATCTCAATATCGATCTCACTGTCGATCTCACTCAACAGGACACCGCGGGACTTCACGGGACACCACGGGACGCCTGTCGATTTCACTATCGATCTCACTTTTTGGGACACCACGGGACACCTCGGGACACCACATCGATCTCAGTATCGATCTCAGTATCGATCTCAGTATCGATCTCACTGAACGGGACACCACGAGACACCACAGGACACCACGGGACACCGCGGGACACCGCGGGACACCGCTGGACGGGCGGGAGTGAAAGAATCATTTGTCTGGACTTCGCCCTGGCGACGTCGGACACCACGGGACACCACGGGACACCGCGGGACATCGCGGGCCACCGCCGGACAATCGGGAGGGGGAGAATCATTTGTCTTGACTTCGCCCCAACAACGGCGGGTTCATTCCTCTCGCGCGCCCACGCAGCTTCGCCTCGCCCGCACGCGCGACACGAACGAAACGAAACGATTTCCCAGTTGGGGGTCTCCGTTCCACCGCGATCTCACCCCCAAACCTCCGATGCCCGTTGCGTGCGAGATCATCGAATGCGGGATGCCGAGCCACGTGCGCAGGCTGCGCGCCAGGGAGATGTCGATGCCTCCCCGGGATCTGGACGCATCCCCCCGCCAGGGATTAGATCGTCGCAGATGCCCTACATGGCTCCCAAATGGCTCAGTATACAGTCGGGGCGCTGAAGAAGGAGCCCTTTTCGTTGGGGAGGGGTTCGGCGTTCCTTGATTGGTTTACAAGTTGCCTAGGATTTCCCTGAGGGCTTCCATGGGAAATCGAAGTTTATCTCATGGGGAAAAAAGGGCCTCGTTCCTTATTTAGGGTTCCTCAGGTCAACGCCCCGACTGTAGGTATGTCTGGCCTCCAGGTTGGAAACAAGACAGCTCAAGTTGTACCACATAGTGCGCCTTGCCCTCGGAATGCTTCCCCAAACCCCCGAGATGGCCGCACGCCTGTCCCAAGGGGCCACGGACATCGTCAAGGATACCCACGAGATGCGAACATGTGCCACAAACGCAAACAGGTGTTTAGCGGTTTGCATCTTTCTGGCGTCTTGCTTCGGATGGGCTTCTGAGGCCCAATGGCTCCAAGATCGCCCAATCGTGCCCCAGAAGGGACCCATAAGCGCCCGATGACGGTGCCAGACGTACGCCCCAAGAGCGCCGGATGACGACTCAAGAGACAAGGAAACTGGAAACACTCAGTGCTGGATTCACATGCGGAACGTCCAAAGGCCACGTTCTGGACAGACATGCGGAAGCCCAGCGTGCCCGGTCATGGAAGGGCTCAGCGCTGGACAGGCATCTGGCCACACACGTGCCCAGCTCTCGCCCAGGCCCGCCGCGTCATGTGTATACGGCTTCCTGGCAAGTGAAGCGACGTGGGCGGCGCAGGCAGTAGAGCGCCACTCCGAGGGCCCCACTCACTGACCCTATCGCCCTTCACTCAGCCCGTTCCGTCCGGCCCGTCCCGCCCCCAGCGCTCGCTCTGCTTCTGTCCAGCGGCGACCCTGACCTTGAGCGTCAACCACGCCGGGTGCTTGCGACCCCTGGGATCCCCTGGGCGCTGCCACCGGTGTGCTGTCGGGTACGCCAGGCTCCTGTCGTGGCGACTTCGGCGTTCGCTTCTCGGACCGCGTGGATGGCAAAGCCCCGGAGGCGATAGCGGCTCTTTCCGATAGCGTGGATCGTTGGATACTGGCCGACTCCAGGCCGGCGGCGCTCAACTCTGAACGCCAGCACGGGGGGTCGCCGCCGCGTCGACGCGACACGAGCCTGCCAGGTGCACGAGGCGTGGGCCTGCCCCTCGCCACCGACGGGGGAGCCGACGGCCTGGGGCCCCCAGGGGAGCGGCGGAGGCTCTGGCCCCCGGGGGCCCAACTCATATATATATATATATATATATATATATATATATATTCCAAAAAGGTAAAAAAAACAAAAATTGTCCCCTGACTATTTTTGGACTATTTTCTGACTATTTCGGGGGTATTTTTATTTTTCGTCGCGCGTCGCGCGCGCGCGCACCGACGGCGAACATGTCGAGAAGGTCGGCCGTGGCTGCGGCTCGTCCGCGTGCGCCTCGTGGATCGGCCCGTCCCCGAGCGCGCCGTCGCCGCCGCCTGCTGGCACTGGCACGGGCGCTGGCGGCGGCCCCCTCCTCCGCCTCCTCCTGGCGAGTTCTGCTCTCGGGCCACGGGGATCGACGAGGAAGACTTGTCGTGGATGCTGGGCAGGACAGGGGATGCATGTGCGTCCCTGGTCAATCGGAAACCTCTGGAGGGCGCCCGGGGGCCTCTAGCGTCAGGATCGGGGGCGTAGTGCAAGCGAACCCTGACACCTCCTCCTCCTCCTCCTCCTCCTCCTCCTCCTCCTCCTCCGCCTCCTCCTCCTCCTCCGCCTCCTGCTTGTCCCTGCTTTCCTCCCTTTTGTCGCCTTCCACCTCCTGCGTTTCCTCCTGCTCGTCCTCCTCCTGCTTGAGAATGCAATGCTCCTTTCTCCTCGTCCCCCCTTCTAATCACCTGCCCTAAGCCTCGTCCTCACTCTCCCCGCCCTCTCCTTTGCGATAGCTGTTTGCCTTCTGTCCCTCGACCTCCTCCTCTCCCTCGGCCTTCTTCTCTTCCTCTTCCTCGACCCTCTCCTCTTCCTCCTCCTCCTCCTTTTCCTCCTCTTCCTCCTCTTCCTTCTCTTCCTCCTCGTCCTCGACCTCGCCGTTGTCCTCGTCCTCGTCGTCGTCCTCCTCCTGCTCCTCTGATTCTTCTGCACACATCCCTGCGCAACACGAAGCAAGTGGTATTCGATAACAGCACATGCAAGCGAGAGAGAGAGAGAGAGAGATCAAACAAATGAAAACAGAAATCGAAAGAGAAACAAACCACGAACTAACAACCAACATAAGAGACGAGACACTGATAGCAAAGGAGGGCGGCCTCCTCGCCGCCGTCGGCGGCGCGTCCAACTAACCCCCGTAAGGGTCCATAAGCGCGCATTTGGAAGCGCCCGCCTAGTCAGGCATGGTGAACTGACCGATCGGACACTGCGGAGCAGATCGAGCAGCATGATCATGCAGGCAAGTGACGACAGCTCGGCACAAGGACGACGGCCAAAAGGCGGACGAGGCTTGGAAGCCACCCTGCTAATCAAACTCAACTTGTAGGTTCCCGCGGGCACTGCGCAAACCAACGCAGAAAATTCTCAAACGTGCGACGCGGATGAACTTGCACGGAGATTGACGCCACTATCATGCCGAGATTGGCGACCCATTCGAGCTCGGGGAGCGACCAGAGGGAGGGACGGTGCGGGGAGGGGTCAGGTCACGCGTGCCAAAGCATCCGGAAAAATCCGCTGTCCTGGCGGCGACGCTCAAAGTCACGGCAACACGAAGCACGCAACTATCTTCGTGGACCCCGGCCCACCCGGCGGGCGAGATGTCAGGATACCCCCGAGGGCGCGCAATTGAACGACAAGTCCCAGCACGATCGTCGGGACACTCGCACCGAGTCTCATCCCCAGAGGGGGCGCCAACGTTCGCAGCGCACGTCTGGACAGGGTCAGCTGAGTTCTGTGACCGCGCTGCTTCTCGGCCAGTATCTGATCGGGGCCGACGGCGATCACGCAAATCGCTACCCCTCGCCTCGCGCCAAGTTCTTCGCACCACCATTGTACGTCGCGCAGGGCGCGCACGCGAGAACACGCGCGCGCGAGATACTTGGCAGGCGCGCGCGCGCGGGCGCGGCCAGGGGCGCGAGAGCTGGGCGGGGCCACGTTCGCTACCGCATGCACAGGGCGACAAGCAACGCAGCACGCGGCATCGGGCAGACCGAACAACGCCGCGGCACTCCACAAGCAAGGGCCAGGAAAATCAACGGGCGGGGCAGTGGCCTTCTCCTCGCAATAGCCCTGTCTTCTCAAATCTCGCGGAACTTCTGCGTCGAGCTCCTTTCCTGCCCGGCTTGCTCGACAGAAGATTCTGGAACGACGGCTAGCTGGATAGCCAGTCGCGTGCCCTTGCCGCGCCTGCGATGCCCCAGAAATCTCCATCGCGCGCGAGACCGCGTGCAACAAGATTGGCAGCGCGATCCTGAGGAAATCCTCCCCGCGGAGTGAAGCTCAGGGTGGGCCTTTGCCCTGGGAGAGGCCCAAGATGCCCGCGCGCCGAGCGCGGCATCGCCCCCGGCGCAGGGGGGTGCAAACGCGCGGGAAGGTGGCGCGAGAAAGGAGGGGCACTCTACGTCTACGTCTCCTTTCGCAAAGCATCGCGTCTGTCGCGCCAACGCAAGTCGTCCATCTCGCGCGCCTGCGCCGCGCTCTCCGCCTGCCCGCGCCTTCGTTTACAGAAGCGCGTGCCACGCTCGCGCGCCGGCGCGCCGCGTCGCCAGCCAGCTCGGCAGCATCGCTCCCGGAAAATGCACTCGCCCCCCCCCTCAACCAATGGAGATCATCGCAAATGCGGCTGGACCAGGGGCCCTCGATCTGCGCTGCCTTGTCCAGCAGGGAGAGTAGCGCAACGGGCGCGGCCTACAACGAACGAGAGGCGATGGCGTCAGTCGCAAACTGCGAGGACGGAGGGACATCGCGATGGGCACCTGACCAAACGCACTCAAGAGCCGGCGCCCAGCGACGCGTTTACGAAGTATACCGCATAACTTGAGGCCATATGCCAACGGAAACAGCAGCGAAGAAAAGCAATGTACCATACAAATATATGTGTACATACATATATACATATATAAAGAGAGAGAGAGAGAGAGAGAGAGAGATGGAGGAAGAGAGAGAGAGAGAGAGAGAGAGAGAGATGGCGGCTTGGCCCCGGGCAGGGGCCATACATGCGCATTGCGCAACCGGCGCGGCGTGCCAAGCTCGCGCGCGCGCGAGCTTGCGCGCAAGGGAGAGCTCGCAGCTGGGAAACGCAGTTCGCATCAGAAACCCAAGTGGCTGCTGTGTGCGATGACACCTGTTGGAGACCTCAGGGCCCATGCAGAGCTTCGCGTCGGCGTATGTTCCCAGCTACCTGCACTCGGCGGTCTGAGGCTAGACGCACACCTGGTTGAGGGGCCTCGAGACCTGTAAGGGGCTTCAGGAGCCCCCCCCCCGAACCCCGCGAGCTCCTTGGCCTGCGAACGTGGGCGCGATTTCGGATGTGCCTTGCTTGCGGCTGACCTGGAGGTCCCTGCAAATCGTTTCTCGGCGAACGACGGTGGCGCCGGCCCGGGCGCCGGCTCGGGCGCCCGGCCCGGGCGCCGGCCCGGGCGTCGGAATCGGACCAGGAGGCAGGGCGTCAAAAGAAAAATGTGCATTAGAATTGCCTTTTTTCGGCGCCGCCTCGGGCCACTTCTTTCCAGCTGGTTGCCCACTCGAGCTCCACCAGAGAAGCCAGGTCGTCCGCGCACGCGGGGCCCCGGACGCGCCATGGCTCGGAAACGTTTTCGGGGCCCACAGGGGGTCCTCTGAGCAGGTGCCCTGGGGGCCGTGTGCTGGGGCCTGGCGAAAAGGGAAAGTCGCTTGTCGACGTGCGTTTGAACCGGGTTGAAATCGATGCCGAATGTAGTCGGCCAGTGGCATGCCTGGTCTGGTGCCCCTTCCTCCTGTTTGGCCCGCGCCATCGGCTTCTTTCGCTGGGGGCCAGGAAGACTTCGTGGCGCCAACCGCGGAGGTAACCAGGTGCTGGTTGGGTCGATTGCCGAGTCTCCTCGCTGAGCGGAACAAGCGCAAGTGGCACACCCATCTCATCAACCATATCTTCCATTGCTTCAGACACTTGGGCGCACCTGGACATAATTCCGTCTATCACGGAGTGAAAACAACGCGTAAACCTGCGAAGACAACTTGGGGGCTCTTCTTCCGGAACGTAGAACCTGTGCTACCATCTTCACCATTAATGCTGCCATGTCGGTGCCTTTCCTGGCGAATCCTCCAATGTATCGAGATTTTGTTCGTCTGCATCAACATCGGGCGAAGGAATGTGTGGTGTAGTTTGACGATGTGTGCCCCAAGCACGGCGCCACGGTACTTCTCGATCGGCCCAACTGCCCCACGTCTAAATACATCCACTTGCCAAACGCCCTTGAAGCCGAGGGGCTCTCGGTTTGTGATCCAAACCTTGGTCGTGGGCAGCAGGGGCAAGCCGGCGGACTCAGACGCTGCCGCTGGCAGCAAGCCGAAGGATGCGCCATCGGGACCAGCTTCTTTGCGTGAGCCACTTGAGCAAACCAGCTGCAACTAATTACTCTGAGTATGTGAGCGGCATGTTGGTACTGCCGCGTGTAATGCTGCACGCCCTGGCCATGAATTCGGTGTTACCTGTCCCTTGGAAATCATCCCGCGATGGGTTCTTGCATTCGAAATTCCTGCGAGATGTCGAGTTCGAGCTAGGGGCGCATGCTTTGAATGATTGGTAACGTTGCCGTCTCTGCCGTATCCGATGGGAAGCCCGCTTGCTGCGGTCTTGCGCTTCTGTCCGCAGGTTTTTGGCAGCGCGCGCATAGCGCGCCATTCGAGGGTCGAGTCATGAGCCTGATGGGCTTCGCTGAGCGCCTCGGCCATTGCCTCGCAGTGCCTTCTCGAGCCCGCTTCGCAATCCTGCGCAACGCATTCTTAGATTCGGAAAAAAAGCGAGCTGCATGAACAACTTCACCAATGCTTGAGCGACCTGCGTATCTTGCACCGGGCGTCTCGCACAACTTACGATTGCAAAACTCCCAACCTAGGTCATCTGGTCCTTCGGGAAGACCTGCCCTCGACAAGACTGTGAAACATTCGTGCGTAGCTGTGGGATCACAGCGGTGCCACAGTCAAACGGCCTGTTGCGCCTGCAGACTGACCCCAATGGCAACTGCGAGAACCTGGAATATGTAAGGCTTGAGCGGGACCTTGGAGCTAGCAGCGCGCCTGGGATGCTGCTGCCAGGAATTGCTTAACCAGGACATTCAGATCCAAACTGGGCCCACCCCTTCAAAAACCACGGGGCACTGCCCTCAAAAGGTCCTTGTAGTGGACAACTTTCACGGGTCCTTGAAGGCCTTGGTGTCGCAGTGGAGCCTGGCCCTACTCCGTCTGGCCTGACACGACGACTCGACTGGTACGACATCTGGCCTCTGGCCATGGTGCCCAGCATTCATGTCTATGTCTGAGATGGCGTGGTGCCCCCACGAACGTGGTGATAAACTCACTGGAGACCGCGACATAATCGACCCTATGGGCCGCCTGTTTGGAAAAAAGGGGGAGCCAAGGTATCTCGTCCGTCTTCGAGGGGTCGAAACTGTTCACGGCAAACGCACCCGCGCCTACGCAACCCCAACAATAAAACAATGTGTCCGATTGGTGTTCAGCCTGCCTGAAACCGCGACTACCGATCGCGCGCGCGCGGCGGCGTCGCCAAGTCCTGCGCCTGCGTCCACGAAAAAAAAGTGCGCGTTCCAACGAATCACCAATTCACGAATCTTATACCACCAGAAGGCTCTCTGCTGCTGCGCGCATTCCGCTCCGCTGCACAACGCATGCGCAGCCATGGCCATGCGCGTGAAAGCGGGCACCTAACATGAAACAGCCAGGAGCCGTGGTGACTGGGGCACCAGCGTGACATTCATGCGCGCGAGATGCGGGGCAGTCTCCGCCTCGGCGCCATGCCGATGCCCCCCTGAGACCCAAGGCTCCATGTCCCCAGAACATCCCGACTACATATAATACACCCTATGGAATTACAAATGCTCTCGGGGTCCCTGTAATTTCTACGCCTACTAAGATTATGCTGGCTTCTCGGAAATGTTCCTCCGGCAGCTCTCATCGGCCTAGCCCTAGTCGCTGCTGCATGCGGTGCTGTTTGTGCATTTTACGTGGATGCCTGCGTGCTCGTGCTGACGACGTGCTTAGGGTCGCTTTAGTCGGGGGCCTCCAAGCGAGGAATTTCAACGAATTGGGGCAAGGGCCAGAAACCCAGTTATCACCATGACCGATCGGGCGCGCTTCTCCTTTGTCGCGCGGGGGTTGTCTCAACCGCGCCCAGTCTAAGGTGTGATCATGAGATGAAGCTTCGTGGGGGGGCTCCAGAAATGGCTGGGGCAAAACCGCTCGCGTCTTTCGCAGCCCAATCCGCGAATTCGCGCCGCGGGTTTTGAGAATGACATTTCATGTTCCAAAACTGCCCTCCGGAACCACGGCGAGTCCAGAGTTATAGGCATTGGGTGAGACTGGCGAGGCCCGAGCGCGACGCAAGCGGCAGCCTCGCTGTCGCAGGACATGCCGACATTGAGAAGCGCGACAAAAGATGCCTCGAGCTGGGGGCCGCGATTAGCGAGGAATCAGATTGCAGACTACAGAACTTTCGTGAGCTCAGTCGTCGCACTTGCGATCCGTCTGGGGAGTGCTCGGCGTCGGTCGAAGCCGAGGCAGACATCTCGTCTAATCTCAGGTCGCAGACGCGGCCGCTGCCGCCCGCCGCCGCGGATGCAAAGGCCCAGGCGCTGACGGAAACGTTGCCTTGACAAGAAGCGTAACCATACAAGTGGAAGCCTGACTGCCTGCTGCGCTGCCAGTCTAGCCACGCCGGAAGCGAACTCTGTCATCGGGTGTAACCTGACTCCTGCCGTGCTTTCCCTGATGTAAGCTGGTCAGCGAAATCCTTCGCGACGTCCTGCAAACGATCTGCGAATTGAGACCGGAAGTGATATACCAACGGGTCCGGGGAAGGTGCCTGCTGAGGGCATCGGGATTCCATGGTGCCCTCTTCTTCACCTGATGGCGCTGCGAACTTAAAAGCTAACGCCTGCCTCCCAGGCGGAGCACCAGGGGGCCTGGGGAGCTCCACGGGCGGCGGCGTTGGCGGCCGCTTGCCCTCGGAGCGCCGACGGGGAGGGGGGGGGGGGGGGGGCAAAGCGGCCCCATTGCCCTGCAATCCACGATCTCAGTCACTCGAAGAAAAGCACTTCCCATCACCCGCCCAGACGCCTGGCCGGTGAGGGAGGCAGGCGTGGCCATACTTTGCGCCCGAGCGTCCTGCCGGGAGGGAGCTGGCGCAGCAATGCCCCCATGGGGCTGGGCCGAGAGATGGCGCTGCGCTGAAACCCTTCCCGCAAGGGAATGAAAGCAGGGCACCCGATCTCCGCCGAATGCAAAGTTACCTCAGCGCGCCTGCGCGCGTCCTGGCGGCGTATTCTGCCGATCGCGCCACCGGCGTTCAGAACAGCAAAACATCCCCAAGTCGACGTGTGTCCAGGAGACGATGCCGCTTCGCACCCTGTGCTGGCGATTGGCCACGACCTTCTTCCTCGCCAGGTGGCGCGTTCCTACCGCCAGGGTGGAAGTCCAGCAAATCGTCAGAATGTCTGTCACTTGTCTGCTAGATGTTGGCGTATACCACGCAGCATGTTGTAGAATTGCACTGCGCGTGTCAGACGCCTGCTCCACTCGGTGCCTGCATACTTCACGTAATCATCTCCCTTAGTGTTACTCACTCGCCCTGAGGATCGTAGCACTCGTGCGCGGGCTTTCTCTCCCTCGGCGGCAACATGTCTGTCGGGCCTCCCTCTCGCGATTCGCCTCCTGCACAGCGGGTGCTGGAATCGAAGTCTCCGCTGCCGTCGCTTGCTGCGCGCCTGCAACCGTTGCGGCCGCGCTCGCAGCCTCGACCCTGGCTGCCCGCGTCGGCGGACGCAACTCGGGCCGCGAGGGCGGGGGCGGCGACGGAAGAGCGCGGGGGGCGCTGCCCTGGCCGAGGTCGATCGGGTCGCGCAGCATGCGCACGTAGAGGTGCTCGGGGCGAGGGGCGCACTTCTCCCGGGGCAGGGGCGGCGTCGGCGCGAGCAGCGACGGCGGCGCCATCGGCGGCGTCTCTGCGGCCTGCTTGGCAGACACATCTGACTGGAAAATCTGCCAATGTCGCGTCGGGAACTTTCGTCGATTCTGACTGTCGGAATGCGTCCGGCGCGCCAAAGCCCGGGCGCGCCGGCAGTGCGGCTGCGAGCGGATTTGCCGATTTCTGCTGCCCCCTCGACGGAATCGGTGTTTCGGCGTCGCTGAATGGTGTCGGAGCTGCCGCATGGCGCAGCGCAGTAGGCCGCGGTGGTGGCGGCGGCGGCGGCGGCGGGCTCGCCTTCGGCTCTGGCGTCGACGGGGTTGGGCCCGCTTGACGACGCGGCCCCGCGTGGGCTCTGGGGGCGGCGCGGTGCGGGTTCACGTTGGCCATCATATTGTTAATCGCGGGAATTTTCTGGAGCTGGCTGCTCGCCCGCCGGCATGCCTGGGGCGCCTGCCCTGGCTGAACTGGCTCACGATGCCCCGCCGCCGGCGCAGCGACTCGCGGATCAACTCCTGCTACCTTGGCCACCTTGGCGCAGAAGACTGCGCCGTTTTGCGCAGGAGAGCCCTGTGGATGGCGCGCGTGAAATTCGTGGCCAGCCGATTCGACGATCGACGGCTGACCTGTTCGACCATTGACGGTCTGAGACTGACTCGAAGGACTCGCTTCGCTGACCCGCGCTGACCCGCGCAAGGCATCCGTGCAACGCTGCGTCTCGAGCGTCGTCCGCGCCGGCGCCGCGGGGACGGGCCGCCGCCCTGGAGACGTCGGGCGCAGGGGGAGGTCCCGGCGCCCTGCTTTCCTTGCGGACCTTCGGCTCGGAGCGGGCGACGAGGGCTGGTCCGCGCTGCTGCTCCGGAAAAAAATCCACGTCCACCTGCCAATCGCCAATTGCCTCCTGCTGAAGTTAGTCGATGGACGAACGCAACTTATTGCGTGACTCATTGAGGGCACTTTCCTCCTCCATGAATTCGTCGATCGTCTTCTGAACATGTTTAGCTTGCCGCGGGCTTTGATGCGATTCGCCCGTAGTTCGTTCACCTGATTACCATGCCGGCGACTGCCTAACATCGTGAATTTGAGTGCCCCGACATCGACCGCCATAGCTGAGGCGATGCGATTGGCCTCTACACTTGGGAAACGCAGGTTTCCCACCCTCTGGATCTTAGCCTGGGCGCCCCTGCTGTGCTGAGCACGCTCCTTGGGGCCCGCAGGGGGGATTGCGCCGCGCCTCATGGACGCGCGGTTCCTGCGGAGTGGCGATGGGGGCCGCGCGGGTCGCGCCAGCGATCCTGGGGCCTCGATCTCGCCGACGAGGGGCTGACTGGACGCGCGATGCAACTTTGGCATGCGTTTCCATTGATCATCGCGCGGACGCATTCGCGCATTGTTTCCGTTCTGCTTGCCGCGCTGCCTGCCCTTCCACATCTCTACCGTGCCAAAGGTGCGATGTTGCCCTACTGCTCGCCGTGCTTCGACATCTTTCGGAAGGAGGCGAGCCTGGCCGCCGCGCTGTCTGGGTCGTCTGCGCCGAGCTGGTTGCTCTCCACGCTGGCGGCGAGAAAGCCGCTCGCTTGGGGCCGCGGCGCCGCGCGCGCGCGCGCCCCCTCGCGCCGGCGGGGGGGGGCCGCGACGCCCGTGGCCTGTCCTCGCCAAAAGAAGGATCAGGAAGCCGCGCCTTCCTGCTCATTATCCTCCTCTTCCTCTGCCCCGTAGCCACTTTGCTTCGAGCGAGCCTGGCGGGGGGCTATCGCAGAACAGCGCGGCGCGCCGGCGCGCGGCGCGCTGGGCGCCGCGATGGGTGCCAGAGCCTAGGCGGCCGCCTCCGCCCGCGCGCTGGCGAGGAGGCGCGACGAGGTCGGCGCCTTCAGGCCCGCGCGGCACGCTGGCGGACCGAGCTCTTCCTGCGGTCCATGTGCGCCCGCTGGGAGTTGGGCGTCGCCGCGAACGGCCGCTTCCCATCGCTGGCCGACGCGGCGAAGGCTGCCCGACTGATCGGGCTGGGGCCGGCGACGGGAGAGGCGCTCGAGCTCAGCGCGGTGACGAACTGGGCCCGCCATGCGCCGCCGCCAACGGCGCGTCGCTCGCCCCCTTGCTGCGCGGGGGTTTTGGCAACGGAGTGCGAGCGGCGCCCCCGTCAAATCAACGCGGTAAGGCCCGCGCGTTGTTCGCGCAGTTCGGCGTCGGAAAAGCTGGCGTTCGCGCCGACCGAGGCGCGCGGGCAATCAATGGCGGGGAGCAGGCCGCAGAAGATGCTCGCCCGAAACTTGACGGGCTTGATGTGGATCACTTACCTGCTGATTGCGCGCCGCGCGATCGACAGGATCGCGGTCCCGCTGCCGACGCAGCCTCCGCAGGTGGAGGCGCAGCAACGCGCAGTTTCTTGCGGGGCGGAGCTTTTCCCGCGCATTTGCTTCTCGAGCGTCATCTCCCCGGCGTTGTTCGGCCCGAGAATGCGGACATCAATGCGACTGAGACCACGCGGGCCAAAGGCCAGGAGCAGTTGGAACAGCTTGCCGCGCTCGGGGGACGCGGACAAGCATGCCATCTGGGCGACCACCATGCGACTGAGCTTCAGGAGTCGGGCGACCACCTGGCGCAGACGCAGCTCGTCGCCGACGACTTGTGCACCGAGCTCGACGAGGCCAAGAGGGATAAGCGCGAGGAGCTTAGTCAGCTCGAGGTCGTCGAGCCCCGATTGGCCGACGCCCAGCTCGACATCTTCGACGTGAAGGACAAGCTGGACAAGCAGTACACTGAAATGGCGAACCTCAACGTGGAGCTTGAGGCCATGACGGTCAGAAGCCATTGGGAGCGGCTCCTGGGGGCCGAGCGCCGTGCGATTGAAGTGCTGCGCTTACGTTGTGAGCACCGCGAGGAACTGCGGCTCCCGAGCGCCGCCCTGCTCAAACATGTATTTTTCGAGCGGGAACCAAAGAGATTGACAAGAGGCGGTGTGCTTCTGGAGGTAATACTTTCGGATCAGACAGACGCGCTCGACAGCTCGACGAGGATATTTACAGTGCGACGGAATAACAATAAACTTCCGCAGCAGTTGCTGAGGGATGCGCTGAGGGACATCGTTCTGAAGGGTAAGGAGTTGAGCTGGGAGTTGGAGGGTTGGGCTGCACCCCGTGGCACGCCCCTGCTGTCTTGTGCTGCCTAGTCCACATGAAGCGTCCAGTCCAGACATCCTCTTTCTCCTCCTCCTCCTCCTCCTCCTCCTCCCACTCCTTTTCCTCCTCCTTTTCCTCCTCCTCCTCCTCCTCCTCCTCCTCCTCCCCCTCCACCTCCTCCTCTTTCTCCTCTTCCCCCTCCCCCTCCTCCTCCACTCACCCCCTCTTGGCGGCGCGCACCAGGGGATGACGCGAGGGGGTCGTCACCCGGTGAAACCACGAGGGGGTTCTCAAAGGCCTTGGCGGCTGCTGAGAAGCCCCTTTCGACAGCCCCCGCCACCCCCTGGCGCGCACCGCCCACCGCCTTCACCTGCCCTCCTTCTCCTTTTCCTCCTCCTCTTCCTCCACCCGCCGCTGCACGCGCTGGCCGGGAGCTACTTCTGCGAGGGTGGGTGGCCCTCATCAGCTCCCCACCCACACGCGGCCGCGAGGTGTTCGCCCGCCCTGCCCTCTCGCGGGCCACGTCACTCTTCATCATCACTATCGCCATCATCGTCATTATCAGCATCATCATTGCTATTCTCCTCCTCGTACTCCTCCAAGTCCTCCTCCTCCTCCTCCTCCTCCTCCTCCTCCTCCTCATCATCATCATCATCATCATCATCATCATCATCATCACCAGCCTCCTCCTCCTCCTCCTCCTCATCATCATCATCAACATCACCAGCATCGTCATCATCCTTCCCGTCGTCATCCTCATCCGTCGTATACGAATCCTCACCAGAACCATCACCGTCACCATCGCCATCATCATCATCATCATCATCATCACCGCGACCAGCATCGTCAGCATCGTAAACATCACCACCATCATTACCATTATCATCAGCAGTCACCTCATCATCATCGTCATCATCCTCAGTCTCATCGTCCTTATTACCACCATCATCAGCATCATCAGCGTCATCATCATCATCATCACCACCACCATCGTCACCAACATCATCATCACTACCATCAGCATCTTCGTCATAGTGGCGATCACGACACGCTTACGCAAGCTCACTCATGTGCTGCAAAGAACTACGCGATCCAAGCCAATACGTAATGATCTGAGTTCATCATGAGAGCACGGCGGCCTTGTGCAACGGTCTGCTAGGGGCCGCTAACGTGGGTCAGAGCGCATGGAAGGAAAAGAGGTCGTCCTCTGAGCGAAACGAAGGTGCCTCTAGGGCCCACCATCTGCAGTGCTGTCGCGGCGGCGAAGATGGATTTTGCCCAAGCTGCCGCGGAAAGAGACAAGGAGTCGCAGACGACGACCGCGACGGCAACGAGAACGGTGACGAATAAAAGCAGAACCCCGAAAACGACGAAAGCGGCGGCGGCGATGGCTTGGCATGAACAAAGGTGGGTCCTCAGGGAAGCGGGTCCTGGACCCCTGGGCCCTCCCCAATGACCAGCTGTTCCTCCCGGAGTAGTTCCCTCACGATCCGAAAACAGCAAAAAAAACTCCAGGGCCCGGTTCTTTGAAGGCCCGCTCCATTGATACAAAAGCAAGCCGGCTGCACGGAAGAGTGACCTCAGGCACAGGTGACCTTCTGTGCATGGGTGCACGGGGCCGCGGGGGGTCCCAATCAGAGCGCGCAGGCCAATGCTGGAGGAATCCCTGAAGGCCCGCGCTAACCTTGCGGATGCCTCGACAATGGACACCCTACCAGTCGATCATCGAAATAGAAGTGTGTATACAATGTCGGTTCTTGTGAAACAAAAACCAAAAAGTTCTTCTAACTAGTATATATAATTCAGATTGGTAGTGAGATAACAACATGCACCTAGCACAGTATAACACAGTTTTAACACATGTCCTAGACTGACTACCTACCAGACCACCCCAACCCAACCCGAAGACCCGAATTTCGGGTTGGGGGGGTAAGGGTTCCACACGTGTTTTTTCGATGCTTCCCGACCCCCCCCAACTGTAAATCGAGGGTAAATCTGAGCCTTCGGGTTGGGTTGGGGTGGTTTGGTGGGTGGTGATAGACATCTGGAAATGATTTGGCAGCGTGATCTCCATCGATCGCCCTCCACAGCGCCAACCCCTGGGAAGGGCAACTCGGGCTTGCGGGCGAGAGCTCGGGGCTCCACCGGCCGTGCGGGACGATCTCCCCCCCCCCCCCCCCCCTCCCCCCCAGAACGCAACCCCCCCTCCTCTCCCTCCCCCTCCTCTTCCCCCCCTCTCTCTCCCCCTCCTCTTCCCTTCCCCTCTCCCTCCCCCTTCTCCCTCCCGCTCCCCTTCACCCCCTCCTCTTCCCTCCCCCTCCGCCTCCTCTCCCTCCCCCTCTCCCTCCCCCTCTCCCTCGAGGCGCAGCTGCTGGCACGCACCCCGGGGCAGGAAAACCTACGGGATCCGACGAGACGGTCCGAGAGCGCCTGCCAGCGACTAGCGAACGGCCTCTCGGTGGCGACGGCGGCGGCCGCGCCTTGGTGCTGGAAGGGCAGGCCCGCGGAGGCGCCCTGCCCGGCGCTCGACTGGCTCGAGCAGGACCCGCCGCTGCGGGGAGGCAGTGGGGCCCCCACCCTGCTCGTCCGTGATCCGCGATCCGCCCCTCGTCCTGATCCTCTCTGCTCCGTCCCTCTTCCCCCTCGTCCACTCTGGCCCCTCTGTCCCCCTCCTCCTCCTCCTCCTCCTCCTCTCCTCCTCCTCCTCCTCCTCCCCCTCCTCCTCCACCTCCTCCTCCCCCTCCTCCTCCTCCTCCTCCTCCTCCTCCTCCTCCTCCTCCTCCTCCTCGTCCACTCCTCTCCGTCATAGGCGACTCCTCCCTGGCCCACCCGCAGACGTGATGCTGGGGCGAGCCAGGCGCGTCGCCTCAGACTTCCTCGCAGTGTATGATTCGGGAGTTTGACAATTACAAGAGCTTCACAGGTGGAGGGCGGGGACTCCACCGAAGGCTCTGCCTAAGGCGCCACCCTAAGGCGCCGTGCGTATTCGTTCAAACATGCGGCAGCCTCAAGGATGCAGAGTTATACATATACGTATACATATATATATATATATATACATATATATATATGTATGCTTATATGCATACACATATGTATAACGTAGCTCTCGCGACAGCGCCGCGCAAATTCGTCTTTACGGGTTGCAGCAGCTTCAAGGATGGATTGGGCGCTCCCCATCAGCATGGAAACGTTTCTTCAACCCCGCGCGCACACGTGTGAAAGTTCGCAGCAGCTGAAAGGATGGATGGCGGCTTCTGTTGGAAAGCTTGGGGAGAAGCCGGCTGCGCTGCTCGAACAGCGCCACGAGGGAAGACATCTGCGACCTTCCGTCCCAGCGATGCAAGAGTAATGCCACGAAAGACATACTATCCCATGGCCACTACAAGTCTATGTGGCCCTGACAGTGGTAATCCCGCACATCTGTTTGCAAACGCTTGCGGCAGCTTCCTGGATGCAAGGCGGGATTGTTTCAAACTCTAGCTCTCGCCTCAGCGCCGCGCACACTCGTCAGAATAGTGTGCAACAGCTTCAGGGACGGAGAGGGGCGTGTCGTTTTCAAAATAGGTCTTTAGCTGCAACGCCGCGCACGCCGCCTTAGAGTTCACAGCAGCTCAAAGAACTGAGGGCGGTTCTGTTTCACAGGGGCGCTCTCGCCTTAGCGTAACGCCGCGTGCACTCGTGATGCTGCAGCAGTTCCAAGGACGGAGCACAGGTCGTGTTCAAAATTGGGCCGGCGCCGCGACGCCGCACACAACTTCTTCAAAACGTGCAACTGGCTGAAGGACGGAGGACGACCCTCCTTCAAAATGGGCTCCCTTCTTGAGACTTCCCTTCCAAAACGGAAGCCAAAGCATTTGTAGCACTGGGCGGGTTGTGGGCAGCTCGTTCTCAAGGAAGCACTCTCTCGCTTGCGACTTCCTCGGAGGTCATGACCACAAGTGTCAGCTTGTGACACCGTATTTTACTGGAGGGCGGCCCTCTCTTTGAAAGGGGGACATCGCTGGACACCTCGCTGAACTGTAAGACCAATGGCAAGACGGCCGCGAGGGAAGCCACTTTTCAAAATGTGGCCCTCGCCAACATGGCAGGCCAGTGTGGCGTTGATCTCTCAGAGAGTGGGGGGAGGGGCGAATCTTGCCGTGAACAGAAAACGCATGTAGGAACGTTACAGGAGACGCATTGCTCTTATCCTCCTGCTTCTCCTTCTCCTCCTATTACTCCTCCTCTTCTCTGCTTCATCATTTTCACCCTGGTCTCTGATTCTTCCCCCGCCTCCTCCTCTTCATCTTCCTTATCCTCCTTCTCGCACTCCTCCTCTTTCCCTTCCTCCTCCTCCCTCCTCCCCCTCCCCCTCCTCCTCCACCTCCTCCTCCTCCTCCTCCCCATCACCCTCCCCCGCCCCCTCCTCCTCCTCCTCCCCCTCCCCCTCCCCCTCCCCCTCCCCCTCCCCCCCCCCCCTCCTCCTCCTCCTCCTCCTCCTCCGCCTCCTCCTCATCCTCCTCCTCCTCCTCCTCATTGTGCGGCAGCCCCAGCACCCGTCGGTAGACAGGACGAGAGGCCACCGGGATAAGGAGGCAGGTCAGCTCCAGGGTGCTCGTGCTGGCGTCGTGCTCGGGACAACTTGTGTGTCAGGGTTCTGTGCAATTCCTCCACAGGCTGGTGAGGAATGCGAGGCACCTGAAAGCAGTGGCACGTCGTGGCACCCCATCGTTGGTCGTTGGCTCCCCATCATGCCCCCCCCCCTCGTGGCGCCCACCGTGGCCCATCGCGGTCCTTCTCCATCTGACTGCGTGCGGCTGTTCAATGCATTATGCCGCAAGGGTGCCATTTGATCTTCCTCGATCCTGGGCTTCTGCTGTCGGCTGAGCATGCCAGCCGTCACCGTGCCCGAGGACGCCTCGTCCTGCAAGAGGCAGGACGCCCTCGCCTTCCTCTCTCCAGCCTCGGGTGGCACGTCTTGAGGCCATCTTGAGCCGACTGGACCCACTCCTCGGCCCCCAAGAGGCCCCAGGGGCCCCAATCGTACATTTTCCATCGGTCAACGTACTCCAGACTTCGTAGTAAAGGGAGGGGGGTCTCATTTCGGGGGGGGGGGTCTCTTCCAGGCTATCTTAGAGGGCCTGGGGGGGTCTGGGGACGATGTTTTGGAGGGTTATCCCACGGGGGGGGTCTAAAACTTTTCGTCTGGGAGGGTTGAGACCCCCTCCCTATGTATTACGACATCTGGAGCAAGTTTTGAAGCCCAGGAGGAATCCTTCTCCCGAGGGTCGACGGACGTGGGGCTGCCCCGGGGGGTCCCACCCTGCCGGAGGCAGGACTACCGGCGGTCCTCCCGGGCCCCCCCCCCCCCCGCGGGCGACCTCTCATCCACCAAGGGGAAGGATCCTCCTTCGCCATTTGTTGACGGGCCCCTCCTCATCCCAGCTTCATCCTGCAGGGAGGGAAAGCTCGGCCTGGGAGGGGGGAGTGAGGAATAGGAGCAGTGAGAAGGGACGGACAGAAGGAGGAGGAAGGCGAAGCGATCAGCAAGATGGAGGGAGACAGGGAGGCCACGGGAGTGGGAGGCGGAGGAGGAGCTGAACCGAACCAGCATGAGCAACATCAACAAGGACCAGAGAAGAATAATGGCAATACGGCTCCCACACCCGAGGCGGCTGGTACGTGCGTGTGTCTTGGTGTGTTGAGTGTGGGGGAAAGAGAAAGAGAGAGAGAGAGAACAAAACAAATAAATAAACCATATTGCACTCGAAGGACAGATGCTTGAAGAACTGACGAAAGCAAAACGACCGTCCGATTCGCGATGCTTCTCTTTGAAGGTTTCTCACGGGACGCCATCAAAAGACCTCCACCAAACACACAAGATTCTCGACATCTCTGCTCGTTCTGCTCGTCAGCATCGGAACCGGAAACGTCGATGGCCACAGGTGGTCGACCTGGTTGTTTCAACTCGCAGAGAAAAAAGACATGCTTCCTCGATGTTCTGCTCCTCCACCCCCATCCTCCTTCTCGACCGCCCACGTACTCCTCCAGAGGAGGTGATCCCCAGAGGCCTCGACAGAGACATCATCACAATACAGCTCGCCGCTTGGGCCACCCTGCCAGGTCTGACTGCAAGCATAAGTCGGGCGTGGCCATGTAGAACCTACCAGGGCTGTGTGCCACCATTGTGGCGTGCGATGGGTTGCGCGATCCATGGGTTGCTCCGTAGGTTTCGTCATCCATAGATTGCGCAGGCCATTTGCCAACCATGGCTCGAGCAATGCGTTGCGCGATCCATGAGTTGCGCCATACACGTGTATGCCATGGTTTACGCCACCAACGGGTTGCGGCCCGCTGCTGGTTGCGCCATGAATTGGCACTTGGCGGCCGAACATGAAAACGGCCGCTGAACGGATACGACAGGACCAGTCAGTCTAGCCCAACTCGCAAGAGTTCAGACACTTCTTCAGATAACCCTCTTCCTTTTTGCCAATGCTCGTGTTCATCCCCTGTCCTCCTCCTCCTCCTTCTAATTCCTGTCATCGTCGTTGTCATCCTTCCCCTACTCCTTCTCGGCCTCGCCCTCGTGATCCTCGTCGTCCTCGTCGTCGTCCCCCTCCTCCTTCTCCACTCGCCTCTTCCTCCTCTCTCCTCCACCTCCGCTCTTCCTTGGGTCCTTGGGTCCTTGGCGCACCACGTCACGCTGATGCAACCTGTTGTGCCAATACTGGGGTGAACGTCGAACGGCACTCAAGAGGTCCCCTCACACACACACACACAGGCGGAAGGATTTCTCAAGCGAAATGTTGAAGGTGAGCCAACCCCCGCGTTCAAAAGGTTGAAGGATTTGCTGGCTGCCTTGATCCGAAGCGCCCCGATATAACGCATCGGCCATGAGCTTCACCTGCTTAGTGCCGAACGCACCACAAATACTGCACCAGGTCTGTCCTCCGTCTCCGCATGAAAAGGCGGTGCGCAGGGTGGCATGGCGCTCGGGCCTGGGCAGACCTGCACAAGGACACGCACAGATCGCACCTCGCGACCAATCTCGAATTCCTCGTGTGACGCAGGCGGGCCGCTGGCCCACCTGCGTGGGGCCACATGTGGTGGCCGTGGGGCCCTGGCAGAAGTTCGACCTCGGCGGGAGGCCTCAGCCGCTTGGCCCCGAATCGTTCCGCATCTCTACATCCTATCCTTGATCTGGCACCATCGATCCCAGCCAGACAACAGGTGGATCCGACCACAGAGTGAAACGTATTGCGCCTTGAGCTCATTCAACAGGGCTTGATCACGGGATGAGTTCGGGCACTTGCTTTAGCCAGTCGTACCCGCTTTCCCTTCTTTTCCTGCAGCCTTCTCTTTCTCCTCCTCCTCCTCCTCCCCCTCCTCCTCCTATCCTCCCCCCTCCGCCTTCTCCAGCGAGGGCGGTAGGGTCCTCCTCCTCCTCCTCCTCCTCCTTGTCCTCCCACTCTTCCATTCCTGCTCCTTGGAATTAGCCCCTCCCTGTCGCACGCCGAGGCCAGTCGGAAGGGCGGGCCGGCCGCTTCGCATGATATGCTCTTACCATTGATGATGCTGGAGCTGAAGCATGACAACATGTTCGCATGTAGAGGGAGGGAAGTTTTCAACATGTGGCTCTCGCCTGAGCGCCGCGCACATTCGTTTAACATTTTGTTGCAGGAGCTTCACGGATGGAGGGCGGGTGGTTTTCAAAGTGTAGCTCTCGCCCTAGCGGCGCGCTGGTCTTAAGACCTTTCAAGAACTTCACTGGTTGAGATCGGTTCCTTTCAGAATGTGGCTCTCGCCTTAGCGTCGCGCGCGCTCCTGTTAAACATTTACAAGAGTGCCACTAGTTCCCACGGCCAGCGTACCAGCTATTGCGTTTGGGAGCGATTCAGGATTAACAGGGCGCAGTGTGGAAGTCCCAGAGATGGCGTTCTGGCACGATTCAGGGGTCGTCAAAACGCAACAATCGAATTGATTCGTGGCGTGGAGGTCCCAGGAATGGTGCGTGCGTGTATTCCAACATGGTTGATGATTTGCACTCGTCTTACCTTCTGCGACCTCCGACCTGCTACCGACCTGCTTTCTACCTTTCCTGGTAAGATCGGGGGGGCTCGGGAGCAGGGCGGACACGGTTCAATGGTTTCTCGATCCCTTCTCAAGGTTATGTTCGTTATCTTGGGTCGTTCTTTGACGGTCCTGGGCCCGAAAACAGGCCCACGTAGGCCGAGAGGAATCAAGCGCCTCGACATTTGAAAGAGGGCTTCAAGCCTCAAAATGGGAATGTCCTGGGGGGCGGTTCAGCCAGGATTCCGGGGCGGATCCAGCCATGGCCACGAAAGGCCTCCAGGGAAGCCTGAACTGTGAGAAGATCTTCGAACAGCCTGTCCTCGACCCTCGATCCTCCTCCTCCTCCTCCTCCTCTTCCTCCTCCTCCTCCTCCTCCTCCTCCTCCACGGCTCCAGAGGCTCCCTCTAGGGGTCAGCACCCCGGGAGGGGACTTCCAAAGCGGCCGGAAGGTGTCTCCCTCCATGGGGTGACACCCATGTTGGGCCTGTCCAGGCCGTCCAGACCTCCCGGATCTTCGTCCCTCCTCTTCCGCACTTCCTCCTCCGCTTCCTCCTCCTCCTTCTTCTTCTTCTTCTTCTCCTCCTCCTCCTCCTCCTCGAAAAGGAAGTAAGGAATGTCAGAAGGAAGGGCGCAACGAAGAAGGAGGAGGAGGAGGAGGACGACGAGAGGACGACGAGAGGAGGAGAAGGAAGAGGAGGAGAAGGAGGAGAAGGAGGAGGAGGAGGAGGAAGGAATTGGAGGAGGAGAGGAGAGGAGGGGAGGATGAGGAAAGGGAGAGAGGAGGCGGAGGAGGGTGGGCATGCGGAGGAGAAGGAGGAGGAGGAGGAGGAGGAGGAGGCAGGAGAAGGAGGAGGAGGAGGCAGGAGGAGAAGGAGGAGAAGGAGGCACGAGGAGGAGGAGGAGGAAGAGGAGACAGGGGGGAGGGAGCAGGGGGCGGAGAGGAGGGCAGAAGGGGGGGGGCAGGACGAAGAGGATGCAGAGAAGAGAGAGGGCGGAGAGCAACTCCTCGATCCTCCTTGGGGGGCGGAGCGCTGCCTGGAGGTGCGGCTGGCCCTCCTCGCGACGTGGGGCGGCTGCTCGAAGGCGCGCCGCCGAGGCGGAGGCGGCGGCGAGGGCACGTGGGCGCTGCCCGGGAGCGTCTGCGGCCTCGCCCCCCCCCCCCCCTCGTCGTCGTCCTCGTCCTCATCCAGGGGTTCATTCTTGCTCCTCCTCCTCCTCCTCCTCCTCCTCCTCCTCCTCCTTTTCTTGGCCGAGCTCAGAGCGGTCCAGCCGCTGAAGCGTCAGTGTGCTCGGCAGTCGGCACCCGACTACCGAGCGATGCAAGGGTACAGATGCCTCGATCTTCTCCGAGGCCGCGGCAAGGAACATGCACTCTCTGTGCCCGTCGAGCATTACATCCTGACCAGGGTCCACCCACGAGTTCCCCGCCCTCCTCCCAAACACGTGCTCGGGCGGGCACAGAGCCAGCACTGTAGCCGTCGATTGACGACAACAACAGGAGCAAGTGAGAGAAGAGGACGACGAATATCATCAGGACAGGGTGAAGAAGGAAGAAGAGACTCGCCCCTGGTAGCACGCCGCCAGGACGACGAGTGACAACTCAAAGCAGAAATTTTGGGGGACGGGGAGGCTCGGGGTGGCGCTCGACGGTTTGTTTCACCCGCCTTACCACTTGCGCCTCCCGTGCCCTCCCCGTCCCCTACAGAAGGCCGCACAGCCTCCCCCTTGGTCGGCCCCTCGATAGTTCAACTACTCCGTAGTAGCGCAGAGCACGAGTAAGACCTTCGTACCCGAGGGGCCGCCAAGGAGGAGGACGCATACGAGTACTCCTCCTCCACCGAAATCCACTCAGACACTCCTCCTCCAAGTTATTGTCGCCCTAGGCGACAGAACATGCGGTAGCCTCGCGCGGCTCCTCTCAGCCTACAGGCTGGGCAAAGCACAGATACAGATCCTCCCGCCCCTACGCACTCATCCAGAATCAACCTATAAGCTCCTGCGAAGACTCGCCGACAAGGTCATGAAGAAACGGGCCCTTCTAAAGGCCCGCCCAATCAGTACACCAACAGACCGTGGAAGTTCAGCCACTTGGCTATGTTGTCCATGGTAGACGTGGCAGCAACGTTCGGGTCCATGATGACGCAGCTCTATCTCATAATCACAATGTGTATGAATAATCATCATCTCTCTAGCTTCTGTGGCGCCGAACATACAAGTATCAATCTCGGTATGGCCCACTCGGGCACCAATAGTCCCGAAGTCTGGCATGAAGTTCTTCATGTTGTCGTAAGCCTTGCGCTCCACTAAGACCGCCACAGGAACGCCGGCCATGGTACCTGCTTGCAGTAGTCTCCACGCAGACCTCACCTGAGAATTGTCGCCAGAAAAGTTCTGTCTGCGTTGGGGAGGCAAACGTCGGATACCCCAAGGTTCCGTTTGGGTACGCCATTGGTCAGGTCCAACTCCGAGCCACGTTTTCCCACTGAGATGGATAAGAATAGCCCCTACATGGCCTGACTGCATACGAGTGACGATCATCCTCATCTGCGCCTCTTGTAGTCCAACAACCGTGCCATCCTCGTCCCGTTCAGGATATGTTTCCATGCCAAGGCCACATGCCTGATGAAGCGCTTCTGAAAATTCAACGTCGCACTCAGCTTGAAAGACATTGAGCAATACCATTGTACTGAGGTCGCCAGTCTGCATGCGTCGAACTGCATTAGGTAGCTCACGTACTGGTAACCATACTTCAGGGGCTTTGACAGGAACCAGCCTGTCACCCTTGCCACCAAGAGGATCTCCGTAGCGAGCCCGCTGTCTGACCACCCTGTAGTTGTATCCTTGCTGAACTTGCTTCCGCTCACGTAGTAAGTCCTCCTGCCGCAGAAGTTCAGCTTCCTCAGCGGAAAGAAGGTCCCCATTGTCCAACAGCCATGATATACACCTGTTGCCTCGTCTGCGCAGGTGCTGTAACAGGTTGGAGCGATCTCCAAAAACTGTGCCACACGCTCCACACTGCGTGCCTCGTGCTGCCAGCTGGGCTCCATCGATCGGCTGATGGTCCAAGAAGTGTTTGCGCCAGGCAGACTCCTTCGAGCACACCCATCCACAAGTATAGCACACGAATTTCTTCTCCAAGTCCGTAGTGACCGCCGGCGCCAGCTGAGCGTTAAGACTTCTTTCTGCCATCTGCATTTGGACATTCTCCAGTTCTCTATACACGTGGTACTCCCATGCCGTCTTGACTTCATTCAAGAAGCTCTTCGTGTTCAGCCTGGCGTACTGGAACCACTGCTGCACCGTCCAAGCTGCGCGAGCTCTATCCTTGCTGTAACTATCAAGCCACTCCAAGTCATCACGAAGTAGTGAGACCCAAGATCCACGTTCGCCAGCCAATTGGTCAAGGAGAAGCCATAGGACAACAGGAGCCTGCAAAAACATCTTCCCAAAGTACATTAACCTCTTCTTACGAATAATATCTCTTAAATGCAGTCTCCTCGCAGCTCCTAGGACTTGTTCGTCGTTGTAGAAGCTAGTAGTCTGGCGATGATGCTGCAAACCTTGTGCCGCTCGATATGTCGCGATTCGAGGTGTCTCCAACCGTTGCAGGAGTGACTCGCTGAGTGCTGTCCATGTCTCGGCCAAGTAGGTAAGATGCACGTTAGCCAAGGTATCAACAAGATTCGTTTTCGCTGGCCTCGTCATACCCCCAAATTTCGAAATCATCTTCTTAACAGGCATGGCCGCAATCTTCTGCTTCTGCACCAGGTGTGCTATCCGAGGGCCCATCTGGAGACGACGGTTGATCATCGTCCCTAAGTACTTGTACTCCTTCACCACATGCACCTGGATATCCCACCGTGTAGGTATAATCAGAAGTTCATCTTCATTATACAGTCGATCTCTCAAGTCGACAGGTGCTTGCCTGCTAGGTATGATGAACATGGCTGACTTGGATTTCTTATAGTTGACAAGAAAGCCGTGCGAGAGCATAGCCACATGGACTGCATCCGCAACTTCACCAGCAAGTTGTATAGGATCTTGCCCTGACTCAACAGACTGCATAATTAAAGCATCGTCAACGAAGGAAATATCTGTGAGGTGGGGGTCATCTTGTAACACCGCAGGTGCAAAACAGCTCTGAACTCCTTCCACCCGCAGCGGCAAGCTGGCACCTAGCGGTCGTAGGGCCTCGTCGATGCTCCTGAGAGGCTTGCAGAACGCTGCGTTGAAGATCGCGTCGGCCAGAGAGCTTCCTGGACGCGAGCTCCTACGCGACCTGGCAACAGTGTTTAGAGTGTTAGTGCCAAAATGCGTGTCTCGATGTCCTTCAATCAGTAGGGCCAAAAGGTGAGGATGTGCTCCAAGACCATCCAAGGCTGCTGGTTGTGAAAGGATAAAAGTCAACAGGGGCAGCATCGCTATGGGCAAGTCATGATGATGTACAATGTATTCATCGTCTCCATCTGGGTCGCCAAGTCGAGGTAGAACCATACTGCGCACCACCGAATAGAAGGCTTGCACTAAGTCAATAAAATATAAAATAGCCGAGCGGCCTTGGAACTGAGCCGCTTGAATAAACGAAGTTGCGATGTGAACCAGCAACGCAGGGCCTTTGGCAGGTCGACCTCCACACTGAGTATCACGAAGGAGTATGTCAAGATATCGTGTGAGTTGCTGCCGTAGAAATTTGTGCCAACACTTACTCACTACTCCATTCAACAAGATGGAACGGTACGTTTGTAGTTGCTGCCCAGGTCCACCTGATTTAAGTAGAGGGAACACGGTGCCATGCTTCCAATCGAAAGGCTCCTGCTGGTACACGCTCGTCTTGAACATAATCGGCCCGTAGTGCCGAGCAGCGGAGCGAGGGCAAAGACGCAGAAGATCGCCATGTATATCATCCTTCCCTGGAGCCTTGCGCCGCTTGACTCGTGAAAACATTCCTGCCACCAATCCAACATGCGGTAAGCAAGCGGTGTCCAACTCTGTACCATCAATGTCGTGATGCAGGCGCTCGTTGTATTTTATCCTCAAAGCGTTATCGTCCATTAACTCCGCGTCCTCAATGTTCGCGAAGTATTCCAGTATCATCAAATCGGCTTCCTTGTCCGTCGTTGCCACCTGCCCTGCAGAGTCCACCAGCATGGGATATCTGCTGGACTTACCCTGCCTGCCTCCATACTTGAGCAGTATCTTAAGCAGTCGCCACTCCCCATGTGGTTCGTTATTCGCAGCACACACATCCATCTGCCTCGAGAGATCTTCCAAGAAGGCCGTGCGGTCAGCATCAACCGCTCGCCGAACTTTCTTAGCAGTATTAGCCAAGAATGTACGGAGGTGCTCTTGAAAGTCGTTAGCCGTGAGGCAGCCCTCTCGCATTTTTTGTCCATGCCAACGAAGCTGACGAACATCAGATTGCCAAGGCAGTTCCTGGCGAGGTCGAAAGAGCGGGTCATCCAGATGATTAAGTAGTTCTCGCCAAGGTGGTCTGGCTTCAGTGTGCTCAGGAAGCCATCGACGTGCCCGCATAACATACCGACGTAGTCGGACTAGTTCCATCGTAGACTCAGAAACATATCCTTTATAAGATGTCAATCTGTTGGTACCAAAACATGTTCTAGCAGCACGCCTAACCAGCTGGTTCGTCATTTCAAGGTGGTCGTTTACATCGAGCTCCCACTCTGGCAGTACTGCGTTGTCCAAGATGGTGGTGAACTGTTTTACCTTGCTCTCGTCCTTGAGCTTAGACTGATCAAGATGTAACGCCGAACGCTGTTTGCCAACTGTGCGGACTCCGCTCGTCCTCAGATCCAAAATAACTGGATGATGATCTTCTCCATCACTGTAAGTGTCAAATCCATAGTCAACCTGGCATTGAGTTGCTGTGTCAGCCCAATGTGAATCCAGAAGTATGTGGTCGAGACGGTGTCGGACTCCAGCAATAGAGGTATATGTGTGTCCCCCTTTATGCGGGTGCCAAGTAGAAGCAAGAGACAACTGGTGTGCTTCTAGTACCTGACGCATAGCTTTTGCAGGTCCATCGTCGCAGGCAGGAACACAGTATTCTGGGTGAAATCTGCCGACTAGATCCCGAGGCCCGCTCGAGGATACCTCTGCCTGCCCAATCTTGGCGTTCATGTCCC